GACACCGAAGTCTACGGTGGCCTTCCGCCACGCCTGACTTCGCAGGCTATATATATATATATATATATATCTCTTTTTCTTTACTCTTTCTTTATTTTCCTTTGTTTTGTAACTGACACCGGAGTGTACGGTGGCCCGAGTCCACGCAGACTGCAGGAAATACATTTTACACTGATACGTTTGAGCAAGGCCTGGGAATGAAATACCTGTGTGCCGGAGATGAAGCCCGTTACATGTAGTTGCAGCGTGAGACGAGACATTATTCCCTGTGGGCGGGGCCCGCGGAATTAGGACAGGAATGCAGTTTTGAATATCGGGAACCTTAGTGAGACATGTATACTTGTGAATGTGTTTATGAGCCACCACCAGTTATATGTATAACTACCATAGTTAGGGTCTGAGAGATCTTTGGGAAGCCCGTACGGCGCTGATGTCCGGACGAATGAAGGTTGTGAAGGCGGAGGAGGACCACCGTCCTAGTTGTTGTAGGGATGAGGTAGAGAGACCTTGATTAGCAGCAGAGGTGGCTGCACCTATCCTGAAGGAATGCCCCGGGTATGATATGGGTGATAGGCCGGATTTAATGAGAACTTGCTTGAGGTAGAAATTGACCGGGCCATGACCCTGCGAACCACTCTCCCTGGAAGAATCCCCAAAACCATGGATGGGCGGCATCCGTGAAGAACCTCATTGAGTCAGAGGAACGCACGAGGCCATCGTAAAATAAAGTAACTCCGTTCCAGTGGGCGAGCAGGAGGGACCAGAACCGAAGATCTGAGCGGCAGCCTTCGTCTAAGAAAACGCAGTCATGGAGGTTGTCGACCGCTGATGCTGCGTCCAGGAGGCGGGAGATGAACGAGCGCCCCTGGGGGATGACGTGCATGGCGAAGTTGAGGTGTCCGAGAAGGGAGAGCAACTGTTTTGTGATAACTTGTTGCTCGCAGTATGACTTGGTGATGTCCCGGATGCGCTGCAATTTGTCGGAGGGGAGAGACGCCTTCATGTCTATGGAGTCGAGGATGATGCCTAAGAACTCTAAGCGTGTGTCGGGACCTAACGTTTTCTCTTTGGAGAGAGGGACACCTCACTCCTGAAGCAGTGTTTAAGCTTGGCCAGTGAGATCCCTGAGCTGTCCTGTGGCGGGTTTATGGGGAGGAAGTCGTCCGGTAGGTGAAGGACGGAGGGGATTCTGACGATGTTCAGCAGGATCCAATAGAGCGCTTCCCAGAAGGAATTGAAGATGCGGGGGCTGCTTCTGCACCCGAAGGTCAGGCGATCGGCGAAGATAGAGTTTGGACTCCCACTTAATACTGAACAAGTTCCACTGAGACGGATGAATGGGGATGATTTGAAGGCATCGGTAATGTCCGCTTTGGAGAGCCGAGCTCCGTGCCCTGTGAACTTGATCATCTTTATTGCATTATCCGGGCTTGGTGAAGGGAGAACTGATCTGGAGGGATGATGCTATTGACGCTGCAGAATGGGCCGGAGCAGGGAGCGGACAGATCGAACATCAGCCTTTTATTTACGTGTGGCTATTCCGATGGGATTTGAACGGAACACTGAGAAGGGGGAGGAGCTAAAAGGACCGATTATATATCCTTTGAGAAGTTCTTTGTCGATGAGCTGGGAAACTATGTTGGGTTCTTTAGCGGCTGACTGTAAGTTTCTTGCTACGAAAGTCACTGTGGGAGATGGGAGGACCCCTACCCTGAAGCCTTGGGAGAGCCCTGACAGGAGATAGTCAACAAACACGGAATCTGTAGATAGCGCAGCTGGTAGCTGAGGGATGTTAATGGGAGTGGAGGGGTGATATTCCAGAATGTTTTTAGTTATTTATTTATTTTTTGATGTTTCTGGCGCAGAGCCACTGTGACGGCTCGTCCACACGGTGGCGTGCGTTACAGCTTCCAAACGCTTCTGCCCATTCACTTTGAATGGGGTGACGTCACTTTTAGCCGAACTGTATTTTGGGAAGCGACGTGGAGTATTTGCTGGCGTTGCGCGCTTCAAAAAGTTGAGCAATGTTCGACTTTTGGCGCCTCGGCAGAAGCGTCAGCCAATGAAATCCCGTTTATGCAAATCTGCCAGTACAAGCGCTAGCCAATCAGACCGCGTGTATGCTGGGAGAGACTACGCAGGTAATTCCTCATATTCCAAAAATTTGAGGGAAAATTCATTATAGCGGTAGTGAATCACCCGGTGCTGTATGATCAGTCTCTGTTGATCTACCGGGATACAGACCAGAGAAGCGAGGCATGGAGGGAGGAGGCAGAGACAGTGGGTGAAACTGGTAGGTTTTCGCCTGTTGGGGATTTTTTTTCTTTCTTCCAGTTTACTTAGTTTTAACATTGCTATTGCTTTGTGTGTCGGGGGCAAGAGATTCATGTGATTGGTTGTTGCTGCTGTGCGGACCAGTAGCGTAGGCAGAAATGTACTTTAGGGTGGGCCTGTAAAAATATAGGGTGGGCCAGATTTTTCTTCTGCGCATCAGAAACTAACCACAATCCCGCCGGTACCGGTGGTAGATTACTTCCTTTCCTTTTTATCTTTTTCTTCTTTTTATCTTTTCTTTTTATATTTTCTTTCTTCTTTAGAATACTTTCTTTTCCATAACAGATGGGTATGTTTTGGTGAACGGGAGACACGTATTTTACTGTTTTAATGGCTTATGAAGAGCACAAACACAACATCTTAGTGTCATTCTGGACAGCTCTCTCATCTGCACCGCACATAAAAAGAAAAACTCACCCAGACTGCATTCTTTGTACTGTCTTAAAACCTTTCCTTGGAAAAGTTTATGCATTGTAAGGTGTCCTTGGGTGCTTTGAAAGGCGCCCCTAAATAGAATGCATTATCATTATTATGTATTATCTGAAACGATGTAATAACTTTTAAAACTTTTCCCAGTTACTTGCCCCATGCAGCAGCAGGCCATTCAGTTAGATTTGATCCCGTTATAAATGTCATCATTTCGACAATAAATACATGCTACATAAACGTTATCTTCCACGTTTTATCTAAACATCTCCGTTTCTACTTTCCAATATGTTTTGAAAGAGAACTCTCTCTCTCTCATCTGCGTGCGGGGCGGGGCCTCACGGACACGCTGCATCTCTCGCTCGCAGATACGCTGCAGCGCTGTGCACACGGTTCTGCCGGTAATGAATATTACATATTGTGAGGAAACTTTCCACCAATAATTCCAATAAGTATTCACTTCAGGTTTACGAAAGTAACTGCACTCAGATTACTCGTTTTTCAAATGTAACACCAGCTGAATATACTGATTTTTTCTTTTCTTTTTCTTCTGATTACGTAACACCGTTACATGTATTCCGTTACAGTCCAACCCTGTGTAAGGGTGAGTGCAAACATTTTCGTTAAAACTAGTACCTGAGTGCAACGGAAGTTGAAGCTCCTGTGGCGGAGTCTTCCAGAGCCTGGAGGCGAGCATCGATAGCTATCATGGAGCTAGCCAGGGATTGCAGGGAGCCGGCCGCGCTACTCTCCATAAGGGGTGTGTTAGTGACGCTCCCGGACTGGCGAGCCTGAGAAGGGGTGGATTTTTGGAGGGGGATGGGATCCTGGAGGGTTCGACTTCCTGCCCTTTTTTACCTCCGCGGCTGCGGCCTCGTCCTCGCCCTGCTCTCTGGGGAGCTGACTGGAGCTGCTGCCCCGGACTGGGGAGCTACGCTGGAGACCTGGTCCGAGAGCTCTCGCAGCTGAGAGAGAGTGAGGCCTGGGGCTGTGGGAAAGCCCTGCTGCAGGAGCCGGATGATGAGGAAGTCTGCCTCTGTTGATAAGCCGCTGTGGGGAGCCGAACCGGGATCGGAGACTTCCAGAGAAGGTTCGTGTTCCGAATTGTCCGAGTTGGACATCTTGAGCTAGTTGTTTCTTACGGTTTTTTCTCACGAGAAGGAGTATTGTATTGCAACTACCATTGCTTGCGGTCATCTGCAAATGACAACTGACAGGGAGGAAGAGCAGGCATTTAAGGCATTTAGCATGTGCAGCTATTGGCTGCTGAGGGGTGACGCCCTCATATTTAATGAGGGGGGAAGGGAGCCATAGAGTGACGTGTAAGTGACTCGTGTTAGGTCTTCCTTATTGAACTTGCGCTAAAGCTTTCATTAGTATCACACGAATAGTAATTCTCCCATAATAACACTTAACAAATATGATCTGTTCTGTAACAAGACATGGAACTATAAGTGTTAATTAAGTCTAAATAACTCAAAATTAGGCATCCATTCTTTAGACTGACAAACGTTTTTTTGGATACTCGTCATTGTCCTTTTCGTTCACAACTTCTCCACATTTTGAAGTGTTTCCCGAGCCAGAACGACCTTTCTTTCTTCCTGGCTTGCTCTATAATGATCCAATACAAATGCAATACCAAAAACAACTCAACAGCAACAACCCACATATTGTGCATTGTTTAGAGCGGTTATAAAGTGTGAAACTGTTTCAACCCATCACCTGTCAGAATCAAGACTAGGCAGTGCATTGAATCGCGTAATTAGACCACAAACCAGTCAAGTGATTAATTCAGGCAATGAAGCGGTTGCTGCTTCAGACGTCATATGTCACGTGATTTGAAACAAGCTTCGAACCACTGCTTCTATGGAATTGTAGTCCAGGGGTTTGAAGCACGTATCGAAGCTTCAGTCTCACACTGCCATCACTAGTCTGGTCTCCTTTTATGACGTAGATGCTGCAGCTCTTATCTACTCCTTTACTGGCTGCTCCTTCACTGAGAAACTCTACCCATACTTCAGTCCTGGTTGTTTTCACAGCAAAAACTCTGCACCTCTGATCATCTTGCCTGTCAGTCAACTCATCACTCGTCTAATTTCATGTGTTGATGTATTTTTCATTCAAGGGAACCTTTTTTGTATTAATTAAAAACACAGTGGTTTGTATCTGGTCCAGCTGGCTTTGTGTTGCTTCCCTTTCCCGCATTGACATAAACAAAACAAACTCACAAAACAACTTCATTGTTTGTTACCATTTTTTATTGTATTTTCCTAAAGAGGGTCGTCCTCTCTTTAAAATGAACAAAACATTTTGTTACTTTATTTTTTTAAAGTGTTTCCAAGTGGAGACTGAACAGAAAGACGACTGATAACAAAAACAATAAATACTTTGTGGAGCAGAGAGAAGGTTTCTGTAACGTTCTACCACTGATATTCTCATAGCAGTAATCAGTGTAAACCTGAAACATGATGTGAGCGACACCACCACCCAGTCCAGTTTATCATCAACCATGGTGGAGCGGGCGCTTTGAATTCTCTGGCAGTTATGATAAGGAAACTCTTCATACCCCAAAACGGGTAATTTAAGTAAAAAAAACAAACAGACGCTACTGTCATGGTTACGGCTGGAATAAAAAACTAATTCCCTAGAGGACACGTCGATGGGAAGTGATGGACGTCGGCCGGAGTGATGGAGGCCGAGGCGTTGGCGGCTCGTCATGAGAGGTGGGGTCCGTATGAGGAAGACGAGGAGGATGAATATGAGGAAGGGTTTTTTCCTTTCGATCCTCTCATTCTATATCGTCCTCGCTCAGACTCTGTGCACTCACGATACGCTGAAGGACAGGAAACAACAAGCGTTAACAGAGAGGAAGTAACCAATCAGGATGAAGATGGAGAGTCAGGGAAGTGTTTTTGTTTTATATTTATACAGATTTCTGAAGTTGAATTAGTGGTGGAAGTATGCTTTTAGGGGTTTTCCCTTTCCTGTAGTGTGTTCTATAGGTTTTAGTGCATGTAAATGGTCTTGTGAGGCTTAAATCCCAAAGTTTCCTCCATAGGGAGTTTCTCTCTCCTGTTCTCCATATTGGCTTTTTTAATTTTTCCTTGTGTTATTTAAATAATTTTATAGTATTTAATAGTTAAACATAATATCACATTTAATTTGTATTTAGTGTCATTTTAATTAATTAATTTAGAGTATTTGTTTATGTTTTCGATTGAAGGTGGAAACGGGGGATTTGGTGTTTAATGGTAGACAGGTGGAGAAATAGAATGTTTTTTTTTACCAAGGCAAGAGAATATGTAAGAACATTATTCCTCTTTCTTTTAATTGATGAAACCTAAGAAAATAAACTGCACAGCTAAAATTGTTGCCTGGACAAAGCACCTTATCCCAGCAGCAACATGTGATACCTGGGGGGTATACTACGAAGCAGGATTTTCGCTTAGCCGGCTAAATTCAGGGGAAACTTCGGCTTTCCAGTCCTACGAAGCTGGTTCTCTTTTTAGCAGGCTAGATCTCCATGGTAACTTATGCTTAGCGGCTAACCTGGTCGGGACCAGGTTAGGTTGCAGGCTAAGAGCTCAACTCAGTGAAAGCACTGCCTGCTGACCAATCAGAGCTCAGTGTGCGGAGTTTAAAGCGATCAAGTCATATTACAGGAGAAAGGAAATACAGAAAAGCTGCCGTCGCAGGAAAGACGGCCGGCAAAAATCACCGACTGTGTGAACGTGAACATTAATAGAATATCACCTCCATCTTCAGAGCAATCTGACTATTATAACATTAGCGTTAAGAAAGCGTACTTAAATATCTGCCACAACATAAGTAACCGGATCAGAGTAACATTAAGTACAGTCCGCGGCATATCACTTCATAATGTATCATATATTTTCTTATCTGAGTCAGCTGAGCCGTATCTGGCCGTGCAACACTCACAGTGTCACATACTGTATGCAGAAGTATTATTTTAAGCAACACATTAAGTTGACGAAACACTCGAGACAAATGTAATTAAAGTCAGATCGTGTTTTAGACGGGGCAGTGATATCATAAACCTGTTAATGTACGCATTCAAACACTTGTTCTGTTCCCAGCTGTATTCACCTTGCAGGTGCAGCTATGTGGCTTTTATCCTGGATAAAGTGTTTAAGTCATGAATGTTTAAAGTTTAACTTCTTCATATGTCTAATATTAAAGTTCACTTTTCATTCAGGAAGTATGACGCTGCGCTGTCAGTGCGCTTCTCCATGTTTGTGATTGGTCGAATGCTCCAAATACCACCCCTTTCATGTGAACGCGCACCTAACTAGATAGGACACGGCTGGCTTGAGCGATCCACTTGATAACCAGCGTCGTAGTACAATTTAGCGAGAGCGCGTATGTTTTGGATTAGGCCAACCGGCTAACTCAAACATATCCAGGTTAGGTTGAACCAACTTCGTAGTATAGGCCCCAGGATTAACACAACAACAGCAGCAGCTTGACTTTGATTTGTAAGAGTTGTGCTACCTGGCTGATGCTGGGCAGTTTGGTGAGCAGCATCTGGAAGACGGGTGGAGGCAGAGTCTGCTGCAACACCTGCAGCAGCTGCTGGGGCTGCCCACACACTGCGATGGCGTTGGTCAGGTGGTCCACGCCTTTCTCATAGTCTCCTGTGGAGAGGAGACAGAGATGTGGGAAGTACTCACACACTTCACTTAATAAGCCAGCCTAAAAGTAGTCATGCATTCAAAATGTTAATTAAGTAAAAGTAAAGAAGTATTATCAGCATTATGTTTTCCAAAGTTGTAGTTTGTCATTATGGAGCCATTACTTGGTAGTACAGTACTGCATCATATGATGTAAGTTAATGTGTTTTTGTTATTTAAAGAGTAACACTTTGACAAACAAAACTAGAAATACTAAAGTATTACTTAAGTACAACTACCTCAAGTATAAGTATCTCAACATTGTTATTAAAGGGGCCCTATCATGCTCATTTTCAGGTTCATATCAGTATGTAGTGTCTCTACTGGGACATGTCTCCATGCTTTAATGTTCAAAAAGCTTTTTTTCTCATTCTGCCTGTGCTGCAGCACCTCTTTTCACCCTCTGTCTGAAACCAGAGCCCAGTCTGCTCTGGTTGGTTAGCTGGCCGGCTCTGCTGTGATTGGTCAAACGCTTAGAGATGTCCCGCCCCTTAGCCTTTCATGTACGATGTGCTGGAGCGCCAGCAAATAGCTGTGTGTAGGTGCGTGGAGGTGCGCGCGTGTGTGTGTGTGTGTGTGTTTAGGGGTATGTGTGTGTGTGTGTGTGTGGAGGTGTGACCTAGCATTACTATCCTTGTGGGGACCTAAATCTGTTTACACAGTCAGGTGTGGGGACTCGCCTCCCTTATGGGGATAATCATTTAGGGTGAAGACTTGGTTAGGGTAAGGGTTAGGGTTAGGCATGTGTTGGTTATGGTTAAGGTTAGGATAGGTCTCCAGGAAATGCATATAAGTCAATGTAATGTCCCCTGAAGTGATTGAAACATTGTGTGTGTGTGTCAGAGTTCCCGTTAGCCGGTAATTACCGGACTATGACCGGTAAAATATGCTGAAGACCGGCAAATCTAAATCTCTCCGGTCAAAATGTCCGGTCAAAATAATGTTCCCTTAGCACAATACCGTATCAGTTGCGCAACTTATGTGACAGACATGAATAGTCAATTCTAATGTCTAACACTTGATGTGGAGAAAGAGATGTCCTGTATGGGTTGATTGTGCGTTGATCTGTTGGTAATGCCTCGGGGTTCCGGTGGGCATGTAAACAAATGCATAATGCTGCGCTATACTTTGCGGCCTCACCCGGTTGCATAGCAACGCTTATTGTTTAGGTGTCTTTTAATAAGCAGGTAGTCTTATCATTAGCTAGAACTAGCTGGATCTGATCGATATGGACATAAACGCGAGTGAAGTCTAATCTGACGGGAGAGAGAGATCAGCTGCTGCTGACGAGTCGACACGCAGCTCTGCATGATCAGCGGTGAGCGGACAAAACACACACTTCAGGTTAGAATATCACACGTAGCTATTTTAATGACCTCTCAAACTACCGTAACTAGTTATAGATATGTTTAGTTTTACTGTCAGGTCACTCATTACTGATCCGCGAGCTGCATGATACTGACGGGCTGTCAGGAGAGGGAGAGCGCTCCGTTTATTATTCCCGTGTTATTGTAAATTACTGTACACTTTTGAATAATGTAGTTAATCTGCTATAATTAGTTTGTTTAATATCGAATCATATCAATTTGTTTTAAAGCTCAATAACTTTTGACCGGCTCTTTTCTAATTTTGTCCGGAAGATTTAAACGTTAACGGACATTTTGACCGGCAAACAAATATTCTAACGGGATGTGTGTGTTGTGTGTTGTGGTGTGTGTGTGTGTTGTGTGTGTGTGTGTGTGTGTGTGTGTGTGTGTGTGTGTGTGTGTGTGTGTGTGTGTGTGTGTGTGTGTGTGTGTGTGTGTGTGTGTGTGTGTGTGTGTGTGTGTGTGTGTGTGTGTGTGTGTGTGTGTGTGTGTGTGTGTGTGTGTGTGTGTGTGTGTGTGTGTGTGTGTGTGTGTGTGTGTGTGTGTGTGTGTGTGTGTGTGTGTGTGTGTGTGTGTGTGTGTGTGTGTGTGTGTGTGTGTGTTACCCTGAGCCAGCAGCTCCTCCCCCAGCTGGATCTCCTCCAGGAAGAACTTCTGCACCGCCTCAGCGTCCTTCAGGTCGGGGAGCTGCGGAACAAACAGCTGTCAGCAACAGGAAGTCAAACTGTTTCTGAGTGATCAATAATCAGATCTGATCTGTGAGCCACTCGTACTTTTCAAGATGCAAACGCTTATTGTGAAATGCACAGTCGATACAGCACAGCTTTGGCAAGGGAAACCTTAGAGCACATGTGTCAAACTCAAGGCCCGGGGGCAAAATCAGGCCCGTGGTGGATTTAATTTCGGCCCGCAGGATCATTTCTAATTACTATTAGATCTGGCCCGCCGGTATATTGCACGCACACCTTCACTCCATCCTGGGGGTCTCCTCAGCTCAGAGCCTGAGTCCAAACATTGATGAACCTGCACCCAAGATGAGATGCCAAGTATCTGGCTTGAACTAGCATCACAGAGCAGCACACTGAGTTTAATGGATGTTTCCTTGTGCACTTTGTTTCTTGAGACAACAGGGCATGTTTGGTTTTCTCTTTGAGGGAAATAGTTTTTTGAAGCTGTTGTTTGCCTGTGGGAAAATGTAATCATAAAAAATGACTCGGGAAAAGCTGCAGATAGAGCCATAAGAAATTAATGCAACTGATTATTAAATGTTGTTTTTATAGGCAATAGTTTAAGCTTTGTTAGTTCCAGGTTTAATATGTGCAATAAGTTCATTTCAATAAGTTTTGCAATAAACATTGAACCAGTCCGGCCCTCGACTAGTTTTTTTATCTTGGCCCACTGTGTGTTTGAGTTTGACGCCCCTGCCTTAGAGCCAAGGCTCCTTCAACAATTCAACACAATATAGACTAATACAGGAAGTAAAGCTTTTAAAATAAAACCTAAAAATAGTGCTTTCCAATTCTACTAAAATATTATTATTATTAGAATAATAATTAAATAATATGTGTATTAAAATAAAATAATAATATAAATAATATTTGATTAAGAATCACTTTTATCATACTAATACTAATAACACTACTACTAATAACAATAATAATTAATGTTGTCACATAATCTGAATTATGGATTGTATTTTAATGGAATTCTTGAATGTATGGGTTTCAAAGGGAAAGTGAAAAACAACAACAACAACAACAATATAGTAAATAAGATACAGAGATGTTTGCACAGAGATTTCCTCAGGTAAAATGTTTTATATATTTGAGAAACTAAGAAATATTTGTATATATTTTGCAACTTAATCATTTTCCTCTTACTATGAAGCACACTGTAAATGATTGACAGGAGATAAAAGGAAGCCGATAAGGACTGTTTGTGCTCACCTTTGCCATGCCCGCCCTCTCTGTGGCGACCTGCTGCTTTCTCCTTCCTGCGACAGACACAAAGAAATACAAATTAAAAACTAAGAAATGGATTTAACAACTTCCTGTAAAACAGCAAGATTTTCATTTTGTTCATGGCTTGAACTGCTCCTTTAAAATGTAAAGTAACCTTGATTTAAGAGGTTCCATCACTGGGAGATCACTTTTCTCTTTTTTGTATACAGAGCATTGAGGACACTTAACATTACGTTATGTTTCAGCATTAGGCAACAACCTCATCAATCGAGACCCAATATCTCACGAGGAACAAGTGAGAACAGGATAATATGATTGCTTTAATTCAGGCAACAAAATGCCATAATGATCCATGAGGGATGCTGCCTGAGAGAAAACACTCTTCTTCCTTGTTATCATGACCACTAATGTTACATACTCAATGTCTAAAAGCCTTTAGTTTATTTTATTGTGTATAGATTTCTGTTTTAGAGTAGATACATATTGTACTTGTTGTACATTTGATGAAGGTACGTTGTCTACATTACTAATAAAACATGTCCCCGAAGCTGCAGAGTTTGGGTTTAGGGATGATAGGAGACCGGCTGAGGTCGATCTGAGGGACCGTTGGGGTTGGTGGGGGGTGTAAGAGAATATTTTCATCTGATCTGTTTATAGAGTTTCTTATTGTTTTATAGAATCTGTGATACTGCAAACATCTGCTTGTAGTCAGTCAAAGACCCCTGTGTAGGTTGAGGCTTGTCTGGATCTCTTTGAGACAAGTAGACTATTGTCTCACATCTGCTACTAATTAGGTATTAGGTAATTAGGTATCTCCTCGTGTTGGTTAGATGTTTTGTGTCTTTTGGGGCAGAGATTACCTTGGTGGAGCACAAGGACAGTGTGAAACTAGGATGATCTCCCGGCCGTATGTAATTGTCTGTCTCTCAATAAATATCAGTGTATTGACAGGTGAATCCAGTTTCCCTCATTTGATGATGCGCTCAACATTGCTGCAAAGAAGTTTTTACTTCACAGGGGGTGAGGAGGTCAGTGAGGTAGGGGGGGGGCAGATGGTGGAGGGCTTTGTAAGTAAGGACCAGTCTTTTGTAGTTGATGCGGGGGGAGACGGGAAACCAGTATAGTTCAAGTTCAAGTTCTACAATGGAAATAAGTCTTTAACTATGTAGATGATATCATCCATGACATTTTACTGACATGTGTTTCCATTAAATGTAACTGAAAACGTTCATCATAATAAAGATTAGAAACAGCTTGACACATCTGTAAAGCACCAGCTTTGCTCCCTAACTATCAGAGATAACCTGTTATTTCTCAATGCCCATGCAGATCAGAGGGAGGGAAACACCAGCTGCAGTGAGAGGAGGAGCTACAGTGGAAAGAGGAGAGCTTACACGCGGCACGCCACAGGAAACGAAAGTTAAGTTAGTCAGAGAGGCAGCCACACTGCAGTCGAGACTAGTCTCTGTTTCTGTCTAAAGAAAATACAAACTGAGTTCATCAGATCTTTCTCAACAACACAGCAGAGTCTCTGTCAAACACTGGTGAGTACATCTGATTATATTTACACTGTCAACAAGAAGGATTAAAACATAACAGCTCTACTCAGATGAAAGCTGCACCACTTGTTTTTCTCTATCAACAAAACCATATATATGACACTTTAAACAGTCTCTTTGTATCAACTCTTAGTACTTTAGTAAATAATAATAATAATAATAATGCATTATATTTTTTTATTAGAGCGCTTTTCCAGGTACTCAAAGCGCTTTACAATTACACATTACACATATTAGACATGTAAGAGTCATTACTGCAGACATTACCCACAGGAGTGTCTTGCCCAAGGACACAACGGCCTGACGCAGTGGCGGCCGAGGCGGGATTCAAACTGGAGTTCCCCCCTTGATCTGATGACCAACGCTCTAACCACTGCGCCAAAACTTCCCCAACTTGAAACTGAATCTCTGTGGTAGGAGTTTTGATTCAATTGTGCTTTCCTGCTATTATTAAAAAAAATCGACAAAACATCAGTTCCTCTGCTCCATCTGTCTGGATGTATTCACTGATCCAGTCGCTATACCATGTGGACACAACTTCTGTAAAGAATGCATCACTGACCACTGGGATACAAGTGACAGGTGCCAGTGTCCCATATGTAAAAACGAGTTGTACACAAGACCTGAGCTGCACGTTAACACTTTCATCTCTGAGACGGTAGCTCAGTTCAGACAGCAACATATCATAATCCCAGTGTTTCCCCTATATACAAATAGCGACGGCTACTTTTTATTTTTTATTAATATAATAAGTGGCGACCCTTTTTCGTTTTTGATTGTTTGTTATGTGGATTTGTAGTATTTGTCTTTGTCTTTTTCATATGGGTGTTTTAGAGTTGTACCTCCTAGATCAGGTCTCTAGTAATTGTGTGCTCAAAGTGCACCAGATTGAAGCATTTTACTTTCAAATGTTCAAAAAAATCTTCCCGGGGGGGCATACCCCCGGACCCCCTAGAGCAGTGCTTCTCAAAGTGTGGTCCGTGGACCACTGGTGGTCCGTGAGCGCCCCCTAGTGGTCCGTGAGTATATTGGTAACACTTCACATTTGAAATGAATTAATCAATTTGAGTTTTCCGCACTCTCGCGGGAATATCTCCGCAATGGAGCAACACCTTCATCACACATGTTGCCACTTGTTTGTACCATTTTCAGGCGATTTGTAATCTGTTCTAGAAAAACGATGTGGTTTTTGATATTTGTGGAGTTAGGTGGTCCGCGAGTGTTTTTTTATTGGTTAAGTGGTCCTTGGTATGAAAACGTTTGAGAAACACTGCCCGAGAGCAGTGGTTCTCAAATGGGGGTACGCGGACCCCTAGGGGTATGTTTGAGTACTGCAGGGGGTACGTGAGATTTATTTTATGTTAATAAAAAAACATAATTAATGCATTTAAACAAACTTCTAATAGTAGATGAACTACTTTATTCAAAGGTTTACAGTAACTCTGGATAATAAAATGGGAAAAATAAACAGGGCGATCTCTTTTCCTCTCCCTCTCCTGACAGCCCATCAGTCTCGTGCAACTCGCTGAACCTGTAATATAAGTGACCCGACAGTAAAGAATACATATATTTATAACTAGTTTAGCTAGTTCAAGAGTAGATTTACCAGATTTACCAGTGTTAGGTCTAACTCTTAGTGTATTTTGGTCCGCTCACCGGTCCGTCACAGCGGCGGAGCTGTGATCATGCAGAGCTGCGTGTTCTCCGTCAGCAGCAGCTGATCTGATCTCTGATCTCTGATCTCTCTCTCGCGTCCGGTTATACTTCACTCGCGTTTTTGTCCAAATCTATCAGATCTAGCTAGTTATAGCTAATGATATGACTGCCTGCTTATCGAATAACCTAAACAATAAGCGTTGCTTGGCAACGGCGTGTGGCCGCAAAGTATAGCGCAGCATTATGCATATGTTTATATGAGGGGTAAAAATCCCATGCTCATAAAATGCTCATATATTTGTTTCTCTTCATTCCCCACGCCCGAAAATAAATAAATATACCAATTTTAGGAAAAGTATCGAAGTTAGAGCAGTGTGGGTATTATATGAACAGAGTTACACATTTTTCAAAACGCGAAGTATAATAACTGCAGTTTGCCTCGCTGTCACAGAGAATGACAAAGATCCTCAGTGAAGCAAAAGCCCATGTTTCACTACATTGTAAGTACAACTTATTAAAAAGATCAGTTCAATGCAACTAATGTTGTCTTAGTGTTATTGCATAATGTTAAAATTGGTTTGCCATGAATATAGTGATGGATTGTAAACATTTGAAATGTAGCTTACGTTTTTTCTCAGTTACAATGTTGTTGTTTTAATAAATCAGACACTGATGGTGCAGCGCTGTACTGTACCTCTTTATATAGGCATTTTGTCCCTAACAAATTGTGTTTGCGCTGATCAGGGGGGTACTTGGCGGAATATTTTTTTCAAAGGGGGTACATTATTGAAAAAAGTTTGAGAACCACTGCCCGAGAGGATGTGACGTCCACCCCCCAATTAAAACATGTTCATACATTACAGAATACATTTACATTACTCGCCTAGGGCAGCAAATTGGCTAGAATAACCAACTGGTACTAGACCTCAAGAGCCTTTCTTGTGCTGGCAGACACATAGAAACAAATTGGCAGGGCGCACTTGTAGGGGTGTTGAAAATAATCGTTTCTACGATGCATTGCGATGCGGACGTGGACGATTCGGTATCGATGCAGTGATGGAAGATAATCGATTATAGCGTAGTAACGTTGCTTCCTGATTTTCCAAATCGGTCTGTGACGCAGAGATCAGGGAACAGACGTGACAGCGGCACAGAAACACCAAACATGGAGCAGTCTGCTTTATCCACCAACACAAGAACACCAGTCCAGAACCAACAGCAGAAGGACCCGCTCTGAATCACTCCGTGACTTTGCGGCTCAGAGACACAGGGATTTATGTTTTTCAAAAATAATCGCGTTACAATCATGTCAGGTTTTTGGTGGATTTAATTAAGTCTTGGATTGCAGAGTATGAATGCCCTCTAGTAATTTTCAGACGATATATACGTGTGTAAAGTTTGTGAAGGCAGGAGGAAAAAAGCTTCCGCGATCACCGTCTCCTCTGTTCCTCTAAGCCCCGCCCCCTCCCTGAAAATAATGAGTGACAGGCTGATAGTGACCCGATAGAAACTTTATTATTCACTTAATCACTGAGATATAATGAAGCTAACTTAATCTCATACATTCATAGGATTTATGCAACAGTAAGACAGAGAATGTAAGTGTGCACCCACATGCAGTATTTTAGTTGTTATATGCTGTTGTAAATACTCCTGTTGTCTGCTGTGTTCAGACTCAAGTCCTGTGTGTGATGCCACATTCAGGACATTCAGTGTCCTTTTTTTAACAGAAGGCCAATGCTAGAAGCTGCAGCTAGACTGCAGAAGCATTATTTTTTTGTTTTTGAGGATGGAACAATTTCACACAGATATAGGGAGGCTAGACCTATACAATTCATTTATTTTGGTTTATAAATCAATGTCAAGACATTTATGTTATTGATTTCTGAAGCACTTTCTAAATAATAAAAAGAGAGTTCATATGTATTTACTGCATGTATGCATTGATGAAAAATAAGCCATGTGCAGTAATATAGAACATTGAGGATGCAACGCATTGGTATGAATCGTGATGCATCGTGATGCATCGGGATATCGAATTGAATCGAATCGTTGACAGGATAATCGTAATCGAATCGTGAGACCAGTGAAGATGCACAGCCCTAACGTGCACACACTAAAACATTCCACGCGCTCCGCGCTCACATAATGCTAGGCATTATGCTACACTGATAATCCTTAAATCAAACTTAACTGTTTCGACACTGGAGACAATTCTGTTTCTCTATAAATAAATATTAAACTCATCCAGTCGTCAGCTCTTACTCAACTACACATCAGGGTCTCTGCTGCAAGGCTGAGTAGAGCTGTCAATATTTAACTATAACTGTATTTTTTTTGTTTGAAGACAATCTTGCTACACCTTTTGTGCAAATGTTGCTGCATGTAATTAAAAGTATAACATTTTAACTACATATACTATCATTTGATTTGAATTAGGGCTGCACGATATTGGAAAAAACTATTTTTTTTCCCCCTGCGATATATATTGCGATATGAAAAAATACAGGAATGGAAGAAAAGACAGTTTTTTTTTTGTCCGCAAACCATCCTTTCTTGAAATTGAATGCTATACAATTGGTATTTTTCTAACTATATTTAACCGGATCAAGGATTTTAGTTACGGATGTCTGGATCTTAAGTTATCAGAGCAACAAGCTGAGCTAGCTCGGTTAGCAGCGCCGAACTGCCATGGAGAAACACATGAAACTACTTTATTCAGTGTTTTTACCTTTAATCACCGGGTCCGTTTGCTTTGGAGATTTGATTGTGATTGGTGGTTTGCTGTGCATGCAGAGCCTGCATGTCACTCACTCAAGTACCCCTGACATGAGAGCAGCACGAGTTTTCCTTTTGTAGCAAGCAGCAAAAGAATTGTAACATGACGTGTTTGAGTTAATTTGCCTTCTTAATATCACACGTCCTAAAAAATAAAAGGAAAAAATTGCACGTCCTGCGATGTGGCTATCGCGCATATCGCGATTATCGTCATGACACGATATATCGTGCAGCCCTAATTTGAATCACAATGCACACGAACTTACATAACGAACTTAAGAGTCAACATGGAGGGCATTCAAATTGCAATGTTCAAAGCAACAGCTAAAAATTGAGCAGCCGGTTAATTTCTAGTTTTTAAAAAAAAATTAACTATACCAGTGTTAGTCAGACCCAAAGAATGATACCCTGATGTTGGGGATGCCCTGATTCAATACACTGGATTCAATACTAAACTTATTCATCTATTCAGGTATCTGGAAAGCGTCACCAATCCTCTTTAAATATAGTTTTCTGTTTTTTTACATTTTATTTTAAGTGGTAAAAAAATTCCTATGTGTGCATTACATTCGCAATATGTCTGTATATAACACATCTATGTCTACTTTTGTTTTCAATGTGCAGATATGGCTAGCTGTCTTCTATCAGAAGATCAGTTTCTCTGCTCCGTCTGTCTGGATTTGTTCACTGTTCCAGTCACTATACCATGTGGACACAACTTCTGCAAGAACTGCATCACTGAACACTGGGATACAAGTGAAAAGTGCCGGTGTCCCTTGTGTATGGAGGCGTTTACCATAAGACCTGGTTTGAGAGTCAACACTTTACTTTCTGAAACGGTTGCTAAGTTCATAGAGGAAGCTAAACAGGAAGCTGAACAGGAAGCTAGAAGCAGCAGCAGCTCAGAGCAACAAGTCTTCAAACCAGGGGAAGTTCCCTGTGACATCTGCACTGAAACCAAACTGAAGGCCCTGAAGTCCTGCCTGGTGTGTCGGACCTCATACTGTGAGACTCACCTGGAGCCTCATCTGACAGCCTCAGGCCTGAAAAGACATCAGTTGATCGACCCTGTGGAGAAGCTGGAAGACAGGATGTGTCCGAAGCACGATAAACCTCTGGAGCTGTTCTGTAAGACCGACCAGACATGTGTCTGCATTATCTGCCATGTTTCAAACCACAAGATGCATGATGTGGTTCCTCTGAAAGAAGGATATGATGAAAAGAAGGCAGCGATGGTGAAGGCAGATGCTGAATCTCAGCAGATGATCCAGACAAGAAGAAAGAAGATCAAGGAGTTCAAAGAATCAGTTGACTTGAGTGAAAAAGATGCAGACAGAGAGATAACAGAAGGTGTTCAAGTCTTAACTGCTCTGAGGGATTCTGTTGAGAGAGGACTGAACCAACTTATCGACACGGTTAGAATGAAGCAGAAAACAACAGAAAAACAGGCCAAGACTTTCATCAAAGACCTAGAGCAAGAAATCTCTACGCTGAAAAAGAGAAGCGCTGAGATAGAGCGTCTTTCACACTGTGATGATCACCTTCATTTTCTCCAAGGTGTCCAGTCCCTAAAAATCCAACACCGACCACCCACCAAGAACTGGACAAATATCAGCTTTCATCCATCATATGAGGGCAGTGTGAGGAGAGCTGTGGCTGAGTTGAAAGACTCAATAAGTGCCCCCGTAACACTGACTTTTGACCGCCCTGTGAAAATGAAAAAAATGAAGAAAAAAAAAACCTTTCCTGGCTGACGGAATAGGCGGAACTAACGCGATTCTAGTCTGACCCATTAGAGCGTAAAAACTGTAACTATAAGTATCTGAAACAAATATCAATAACTGTATTGCATTGTTTTCTTATGCGCAATTACTTAATACTAGGGGTGTAACAGTTCACAAACATTTCGGTTCGGTACGTACCTCGATTTTTAGGTCACGGTTCGGTTCGGTACGTTTTCGGTACAGCAGAAAAACTTATCACAAAACATTAAAAAAAAATTGTTTTTTTTATTATTATTATTAAACTGTGAATAATGTTTTCACTCAAATAAATACTAAATATAATAAAATAAACATTAAGGTGCAGCATTTCGATGAACTGAAATAATCTGTATTTGAACTGTACTGTACTAGTACCTAAGCAGCCAGTTTGACATTAGGACTTGCTTGTCATTGTATTTTCATGTTTTTTAAAGAAAGATGAACTTGTCCACATTGCTTGCCGAAAGGGCAGATCAATTAAATATCGTCCGCCACAAATGGATCTCATAAAAAAATTATTATTTTTATTTACTTTTATTTTTATTTTGGTGGTCTAATGGATAGTGAGGTGGGCTGATTATCGGAAGGTTGCAAGTTCAAATCCCGCCTGGAACACCACTACTAGTGTGCCTTTGAGTAAGGCACTTAGCCCTCAGTTACTCCAAGAAGAATGTCCCTGTAATTGGCCATTGTAAGTCGCTCTGGAATAAGGCGTCTGCTAAATGCCTAAATTGTAAATTATATTTTTGGGAGAATAAACCCCACAGATCCTCAACTCCGGTTTGTCTCACTCATTAACAACGCAACACAGAGCAACAAGAACGTTGTCTACAGTAGCCATGAACTTGCATGTATTTCCTTATTTGAGGGGGAGGGTGGATGCGTGGGCCACCTGAATAGGTTAAGGGGCCTTTGGCTTTTCTTGCCGGGGGGGGGTGCGCTGCCCCCACAAATAATATAGGCCTACAGCAGCAGCAGCAGCAGCAGCAGCAGCAGCAGCTGTTATATAAAGAATGTTGAATAGGTCTAATGATTTATGCTCATCATTTGCTCCTGTGCCTGCCTTCCTTAGATCCATTCCTAAGGTCCAACAATTTGTGGAAGAAGTGGTCCCACAGTACAGTCCTTCAGACTTCAAAAGTCATTTCCGATTGTCCAGGGGACATGTGGAAGTATGTGTGTGTGTATATATATATATATATATATATATATAAATAAAATAAAATATGTATTATCTGGACTGGTGATATTAAAAGCCATTTATTCCTTTCTACCAAACAGGATGTGATGACGACTATTGGCCCGTTCTACTTGAACAGACAGCACAGTAAAGTGGCATTTCAAAACAGTGTCCTTGCCTGTCTGTGGACTCTATCGAACCAGGAGTCCTATAGGGGGGTTGCTGATCGTTTTAATATCACCAAATCCACTGTCTGCCTGCATCTCCATGAATTCTGTAGTCTTGTCACTAGGTATTTGTGTCACCACATTTCCTGGCCCACAGGGCAAGCCCTACATAATTCTGAGTTAGGATTTCGTGCAGCAGGATTTCCCAACACTGTCTGTGCGGTAGATGGATGCCACATTCCTATTGTGAAACCACACTGTGAGAACCCAGTAGCATACATCAACAGAAAACAGTTTTATTCTGTTGTGCTTACTGGGTTCTGTGACAGTGAACGGCGATTCTGTCACGTTAATGTGGGCCACCCTGGTAGCTGGCATGATGCACGGGCATTCCGGTTATCTGCTATTGGAAGGCTGCTTGATGAAGATCCCCAGTCCCTGTAGTCCATGGGCCCATACCTGGATTTCCACTTATCGGTACCACCCAAGGTGGCACATTTTAGTGAAGTGTTTTCAAGTGGCATATATCTATAGATGATATTTTGGTATGATAGACATTCCAGAGTGGTAGCTTAGTCATAGAAATCAATCAGCTACATATAACTCAAATACCAACATGAAGTCAACCATTTAATGGCTAATGCATTGTTCTTATGGTGTTGTTTAGTTAGACAGGTCATTCTAAAGTAACTTGGACAATATTTTAGCCAAATAAAATTATTATTACTTGAAAAAAAAAAACATAAAACATGGAACTGCATAACATAGTTACATGTACATGTTTGTAGTGTCTAGCTTTGACCAGCCAACTAGACAAAGTCAACTATACTACCAGTTTTACATGTATAACTCCTTCACAAGGTCAAGAAATATTCATGGAGGCAAGTTTGATTTACTTACATATTTACCCAGTACTTGAGTATACATCAGTTTATACTCATCGACAGTGACTTGCCATGCACTTCATGGGTACTATACATTCATCTGAAGTTGTACCGGTATGACTATAAAGTCCAGACCATTGCCTAAACAAAACATTGTCAGTTATCTTCATCATCAGTGTCAGACTCGTCCAGTTCCACTGCGACTTCGTCCTCATCTTCACTTCTCTGGTTGGTGCATGTCTGCAGTTTGCACATGTCCGTGCACTTCAGTTGGTTCTCCAGGCACACACAGGCTGGAAGTTTGCAGATATGTGCACACTTGCAGGACATCAGCTGCAATACTGCATCAGGTGCCGGTGATCCCTGCATCCATTCTATTTCCAGACTGCCATCGTCACCTGTAGTCCAGCCACATTCCTTGGGGTCTGGCACAACAGGTTCACTCACAAGACAGCGTCGCCAAATCACGGTCTGATAGTTCGCGCGGAGGACGTGCATGTGCAAGCAATCCTTGCATGGTGGCAGTTGGCTGGATTCCACCTCTCCCCGTTGTGCACAGAAGAGTTGGTAGCGGAGTTCATTGGCATCAGAGGTGGTGGATGAGGATGCATACAACCGGCAAACAAAGTCCTGCATCTTATCAAATAGGTCAGCAGATACATCCCATGCTTCACCAAGACGCTTGAAGGCCTCCAGGTAGGTCTCATTCTCCTTCAGATGCTTCAGTGCACTTAACTTTCCACGACCAGCGAATGCACTGACCGTGTCACACCCAGTGAGAGCATGTAGTCCAACAAGACCTTGGCAGACTTCCTCGCCCAGGGAGCTCGCTAGTTTACCAATGTCTATGTATCGTGTACGATTCTGTGTACTACACTTCTGATACAGAGGGCAGGCCATCGTCTTGCTGAAGCAAAGGCACAGTATCAGCACATCAGTGTCTTCAGCTGTGATGATTATGGACCCATAACCATCACCTGAAGCATGTCTGGCATGAAGTAGCATGCGCGTATCAGCTTCTTCTTGGGTTGATCTCAGATCTTGGATTTCATGCCAGTGATCCTTGGTGATCAGGTAGCATGCCTCGCCACAGGTCACGTACAGTGACTTGTCCTGGAGCCTCTCTCCAGTAAAGATGCTTCTGCACTTCCTATGGTAGGTGACAGGTGGTATGACATAATCTGGCAAGTCCTTTGCGATGTCTAAGATCGGTGCATGCTGTCTGATTTCTGCTGCTCTCAGCAGGGTTTTCCAGCAGGGTTGAGTCTTCATCTTGAGATGTGCAATGGATGAGGCACTCCAGGCGTGGCCGCTTTGGTGCCATGCCGCTGGGTCCTGCCTCTGGGACTGAAATATTAACTTAATCTTAACTATACATCTTTACTAAAAATGTATGTCTACATACCGGTACATCAGACGCAGTGTCCGATAACATGTAAAATGGCAATAACATGCGGCCCCAATAACATTATCTGAAAAGCAACAAAATGAGTTTCTTCCCCAAAAATCTGAAAATATATTCCAAATAGAACATACAAAGCTTATATAATATTAATTCAGGCAAGTTTCATTACCATTTTCCACATAGCAGGGACAAACACAGAACATACCGCCAAACTTTGTAAGTGACAAAATGCGTTATTTGATCAATAATGGGGTAGCATGTAACTCCGCTAAGCTACTCAGTTGGAAAGTCTATCATGGCTTAATGTACTTATATGGACCCTATGAACAAAATGGTACCACAAATGTTTTGCCACCTCGGGTGGTACCGATATTTGGTCTGGCCCATGGACTATAGGTCCGGGCGGTGGAGTCCGTCGTTATAACTGGAGATCAAGGAATGCAGCGAAACGCAGACTTGGTTCGCCTGCTGTAGTATTAGCTAAATAAATTATGTTGAACAAGGCTTATTAAGCTGAACATCGCCACAATTGTTCTGCTATGTATCGGTACTTATTTTCTCAACGTGTGAATGACAAGCATTAAGAATAACAAAATATAGCTAATTCTCTTGCAGATTGTCTCATTTGATTATGAATGTAACGTTTGTATAGGGGAACTACACTGTTAGCAGTAACTTGGTATGCATGTATTTCATGTTAGCTTAGCTTCTTAGCCTGAGCTAGCTCTGTTTACTTCCAGTTCGGTGGCAGCAGGTCCCGCCTCGGCTCCGCCTCTTTGCCCTTATTTGGAGCAGGCGGGATTAGACTCTGACGTTGCTGTCAAGCCGTTAGTGGTTGACTCCGCCTACTAAGGGTTTCTCGGCAACTCTGCAGAATCCTATGGGTGACGTCACGGACACTACGTCCATTTATATATACAGTCTATGGTCACACCACACGTGCGATTGATTTAATGGCAATATACAGAACAGTGAGAACAACACAACTAAAGATGAACAAAGCGGCATGTTCAAAGAAGAGTTCCTCGTCGCTATTATTAATACAGGCTACATGATGGTGGTTTATTTTTTGTTATTTTCTAAAGTGCCTGCCATTGCCTTTATTTGAAGATGCGTGATGCGCGCACACGTGAAGTAGGCTATTTGTTGAATGTATTGCAATGCTGCTATTATTAATACAGGCTACATGATGGTGGTTTATTTGTTGCTATTGCTTTGTACTGTTCTACCTGAAGAGCCCTTTTGTACCATGTAGCCTACATGTTCCAGTAAAAGAAAACAACGGAATTACATTTGTCTGTGTGTTTTTTTTCTCTCTCCCGCCCCCCGCGGGGGTGGGTGGGGGGATAATCGATTAACATTCGCCAGGGCTGTCTGATTTTCGAATTTGATCATGGTCAGTTTCTGGCATCCCTAATATTAAGGTACACAACTTCACCATCAACTAGTTGTTCATTAACATGCATATTAGCAGGGTATTGGCTCTTTATTATAAAACACGAATTAATGCCTTATTCTGCAATAAGCCATTAGTTGAGTTGTTCCTCAATAACCTAATTA